CAAAAAACCTCCCGGTACCTCGATGTTGATGGTTCCGGCTCCATAGCAAATGCCGATTTTACTGCGGGTTGATCTTCTGAGAGCCCTTCAGGATAATAAAACTCGGTTTCCAGGTGGTCAACATACATTAAGTTCTCCCAATCGTAGTATTCCATGTGATATGCCAAACAAAATAGCAGACGGATAAAAATAGCAGACGAAAATGTGTTTACAAAATAAAAGTAGTTCTGTCGCCAATGGAAATACCATGCTCATTTGCATATCGACCGTGAAAATGCCGAAAACATTATTGCATGGGTGATATGCAAATTAGTTTTAGTAAAAATAAGTGACTGCCTAAAATTACCATTACTGTTGTTCAAATTTTATTTCACTCGGCAAGTATATTCATGTACCCTAAGGGGAAAATATCGTACTTCTAAATGTTGTTTATTTCTGCTATGTTTCGAAAAACGGTACTCCTGAAGGGACTACTTTGTTTGCTCTCAGACCTCATTTGCATATGGGGTGTGGAAATACCGATTTTGATTTCAGTGACGAATCAAAATAAACTGCAGTACATATGTAATAATTATTTTTATTTATTTATTTATTATATTATAGCACCCCCTGTATGACAGGGGCTATATACATCATGAGATGTCTAAAATAGTTTAAATTTGTTTTTTCGTTAAAGTGTATGCTGTCGGTTGATGAACCTTGTCGACTTCGATTGACAGTGTTATCTTGAAGCAGTCGTCGCACCGTGTAACGTTCGATATGGGTCCTACGCTACGTATACATTATTTGTTTACACGATATATGAATATGCGTTGCGGGGGGGGGGGGGGCTGTGGTGATTGTTACTGTTAAACACTAATGCATATTGACCCGTGCAGCAATAATGATTATAAGAGTGTGCGAACAGATACAGTATTGGAGATTTTACTAAACTTATTGGAAGAATAACATAATTTTCTATTATATTCATTTGAAGGTAATGGTGACACAGGAGTATAGATCCTTAGTGTAGATCCATGCATATTTATAATACGTATACAATTATGATAAGTGGCAAAGTATATGACTGTCGGTAAAGGGAAAGTATACATAACACAAATATTTTAGTATGGGTGTTCCTAACATCGGTCTGTTAAGTTACTCAGGGAGAGGCGTTGGTGAAGTTTTAAAAATTGTTTCTGCTCATATCTCGGATTATTCCGAGATCGACGTATTTTCAGAGTATGCGACCTCCCGAGTCTACAAAGGTAAGTGACTTCGTTTTCATTCCAAGACCTCCAAGACGGGGAATCGTACCCTTGTCCCTGGACGGGGATGACCCCGAGTGTTTTCATAACAATGCCAACGTATACGTCGTCAAAAGACAAATAACGCACAAACGGAGACATGCTGAATACACCGCGTGATACGTCTGATGACATCACATATGCAGATCCTTCGAGATAAGGCGGGTACGTTTTCGGCGAAGGGACTGGGGAAGTGTACCACTTTGTTGTGTTATCTTCACTAACTGGTCTTTCGCAACATAGAACTGTTCCTTCTGCGAACACGCTCATCGGTGCTTGTTCAAGGCGACGCATCAAGCTGTCGTAATTCACGATAACATGGCTCTCCACTTTCATAACATACTGAGCATGAGCACAGTACGTAGATACCCATCGAAACCCCATTATCATTTTCAATGTACGATTACCATGTGTGTCAAGATAACTCTCTTGCACGATATCTCCGTACTCCTTACTTTCCTTTTCCACCATTGCATCAACAGTCGCATTCCCAGATGATCCCAGCAGAAAAATGCCTACAACCTTTCGCCCCAAAACAACACTAGTTCCGGATGAGCTTATCTTTCGCATGGTTCCACGGAATACTGTTTCATCATATGTTGTGAAAAATAGTGTTACTAAAACGATATCAGAACGTTTGCAGATATAGGGGTTTGCAATGATGAATTCATAATTATGTGGATTGACCACAGAATTGCTAGAGAGTGACAGAGGCACCTCCCTGTTTGAATCCGCGGCTCGTCTCCTAACACTCTTCAAAGTTACATTGCCTTGTTCGGACGGAAGCGTTGTTATATCGATAACAGCCTTTGGTGTTGTTTTACTCGGAATCGCAATTTTACCTGTAGTGCTCCCGAAAATGTTCTTCCATGTCGATTGCGTCATTGCCTTCTCAGTAGTATTTTTGAATATACGTGTACCATTTTCATTACTCGGCGAGGCGGATGATGTCACACAGTTACATACGCATCTTGGTGTGTTGATTTTTCTAGAGTGTTGTATAACAAGGTACCCATCCATGATGTGCAGCACGAATAACGTCAGCACGATTCCATACAAACAAACGGTAATGTGAAACAGACTACGGAGCTTTTTACTCTTTGTCATCATTTTCAAAAATACGTTGCAATCATCACGAGAATCTCAACAAGAATAGCAGGAACGCACAAAACAAACATACCTAAGTTTGAGGTCAACTGCAGAATGGATGTGCTGCGACCAAGCACCAGAACAATTACTCTATGAACTCCGGAGTACAGTAGTAAACGTGATTAATTAGCCTAATAATAGTCTTCCAAACCATTTTGACATCTAAGTTAATTTCTATAGGGCCTTTCGCCCTTGTTGGTTGGACACTAAGATGGACATTAAGTTACGGGGTAGGGCAGAAATGATAGATGCCATCAAAACTATTTGCGTAACTTACTCTATCGGACTGAGGAATATTCATTTCAGGACCTAGGAATAGAAAAATTTGATTCCAGCTCAGTGAACGTTTTCACCCACTATCTCAATATTTCTCATCATTAAACGTAAATTACCGTAAATAGTGACAACATCCTGTCATTACTTACACGCGGTGTCCATAGTTATTCATCGTGTTATAATAAGCTCTTTATTTATTAACACTCTTTATGATAATTTTAATGGTGCTGTGAGTGCTTGGTATATTTGGTGTTTCTTATTTTCCACATTTTGTATACACGTAACGTAAGATTATATATATATATATATATATATATATATGTATTTATAACGTAATAGTATTTATAACGGTATGCGATTTTCTTGATAAGTAAAATCCACATAAACATTTAATTAACATAATAATATAACTGATTGTTACCTTTGGAAATTCGTAGAATTAAAAACCAGGGGATGTGCGCACAATATCGAAATAGTTAAATTAAATACCGATGACAGTAAATTGTAGATGTAAAACACGGTACTGTAAACAATAAATCAATGAACATTGTTATGCGATAAATGACAAACATTCCCAACAACTAGGCTTCAACCTTAACACTTTCTAATCAGTAGCACGTTTTAAAACTGTTTGGACAACATAATCAACAACAGCAACAACAACAATACTGTAATTATACAGTCAGTACGTTTTTATCATAAATGTCAATAAATGTGCTAAAAGCTCCCCCTAGAGGTAACAACATAAGAGGTGGTGACAGGTAAAGACTGGTATGTGCAAATGACGGAAAAGTGACTGCGATGCAATGAAAATCGGTGACAAGTGTAACATTAAAACATGCCACCACAGTCATTCATTGTATTGCCGTTTTATTTGAATGAAATAAATAGAAAAAAAATATTTGGATGTTCAAAAACACATATACAGTAGTAACTTTAATTTAATGGCTACAATTCTCTAATTGGCCTATAACATACCTAAAATACATATTTAAATATACGTATTTTTTATATCGAAATATCAAGCAATTTATGACATTGTAAACGATTAGTACTAATTTTAATATAAATTAGTCACGACCAGGGAAAAGTCATTTAATGTCTTGTTTCCTTTGTTTTGTTTTTTAAATTGTAAATGTTAATTGAGATATACAGTAATTGTCAGACGTCATGGACATGGCGAAATTCTTTCTTCCATGTCGACAATAATTTGAGCGACAGTCCCTCTGGCCTAAAGTTTTTTCAGTAAAATGATGTAAGCAATGCGTTTGCGTTTGACCAGGGCGCGACTTGTACTAATTACCGCCGGCGACTCTTCGTTAGATACGAAATATATCCCTTCTGCAGTGGCGTAGCTGGTCGCTATGTTTATTTTGATTTGTTTGTTTGTCGAGTTTAAAGTCTGGCCTGTTTTAACATTCTAAACATTGAACTATAACGATCAATGAAATAGAGAAATAATTAAAAATGATATAATGAGTCGATGGTTCGTAAATCAGAGTTACGGAATGACAGCCGTGTTCAATTGTATTGACATCCTGTTCAAATGGGTGGACGGACGTTTCAGGCAAGAGTTTCGACCAGGGCGGACGTTTCGGCCTAAATAGAGTTCATAGTAGACTATGTATTCAATATTTCTCTGAACAACTGTATGCCGACATACCGTACTAAAAAATGTGTATTACATATTTCTATGAACAACTGAATGCCGACATACCGTA